GAAATGACCATTTTGCCCCCATTAAGTAACTATTGGACCTTATACTAAAAATCAACAAACTACACTGTTTACCTGTGTAAACTCCAACAAAACCACTTAAAAGTGCCATGATCTGGAAATGAAATAATCGAGTACATATCAGAATACTAATTATTTTAATAAACAATTTTTTTTGTAATATGACATAATAAGTTGAAAAATACAAGGACTCACAATGGCCATTATCCAACCTATGAAAGGAGTCTGAAGCACATGCTCAGAACTGTTAATGAAAAGTGAAACATAATCATAAAGAATTAAATAACCAACGATACTATTATAAAAAGAATTGAATGAAGATGAACTGTTTGTTTATGGAAATTCACATCCAATTCAGAAACAATATAAGAAAAAAATAAACTTGTAAACTGGATATAATTAAACTTACGAAGGATTAAGTTGAGCTGTTGTGCACCCTGCACAAAGTAAAATGAAAGCAACCCATTGGATCTCACTTAACCTATGAAAAGTCAAAGTCAATTGAATTCAAGTATTTATAGTATCAAATTTTATCTTTTATTAATGTTATTGTTATATACTTATACTTACAACAGGACAATTAGCTTCTCGAAGCCACTCAAAGCTGCGTGGATCAACGATTAAATCATCTACAAAAGATTGTCAAATTGCCAGGTAACAAAATTTAAAAAGAAAAAGAAAAAAAATAAGTAGGCTGAGACTTACTGTAACCAAACATGGTTCCTCTCTCACAAACCATAACGTTTTGATTTCCAGTCAATCTGACTTTTTCTGCTGAGTTGGCCATCACCTGAAAAGTCAACGGATCAGAAACTTATCATTGACCAATGGTCAATGAAGGTGAAACGACCATTTTATCCTTCACTTTAGAATTGCACAACATCAAATCATGTTCTTAGAATTGTTACCTGCCATGTTCTTTCCCAATCAAGGGGCATAGGCCATGCCCCAAACCAAGCTCCAATTACTGCACCATGTGCAGGTAAACAGATCATATAATCAATAATTCTAATTAGCCTGCAAATTAAAAAAAAATGGAAATTGAACAACTTATATTATTATTAATCAATAATCACTTACTTTGTATGGATAAATGTTTGTTGCCAATCAACCCATGAAGAACCATACACACAACCCGCAGGAACAAACTGCAAATAAAAATATATATGCAACTATGAATTATGAACATTTTCATAATGTTTTTAAAATTAGGACATAATTTTTTTATTGATTCACACTCACTATAATCAGTTTTTACAATTTTTATTGGCTCTGTATGACCCACTTCTGCAAGCATAAAAACCAAAAACAACTTCAAAGCCTGTAAAATTTGATGTAAAAGTGTAACCATATTAGTATATTAAGTTGTTAGATTGAGAGAAGATAATATAAAGCGAATTAGCTCCCACTGTATAACTGAGATAGAGATTGAGACCAAAGATGAGAACCTACCATAGAATTGAGCAAGGAATATCACTGGAGTACCTTTCGGAATCATGAACATGAATAGCAGTTCCATGCATTGAAGTTAGAAGCAACCAAAAGAAGCAAGATTGTTCATTGGTTATGATCTAGTAATATATATTCAAGAAGATGGGTTAGTTTGTTTGTTGATTTTTGAAGTAAAGTATAATATTTGATACCTTGTTGCCCAATCCTTGGGGAGCATCAACAGCAATCGCCTTCCTGGCTTGTATAGGGCTGGGGATGATGAAGCAAGCGACTTATCCTTAAATTTCATCTCTGCGTACAAATCAATTGAAACACAATTTCAGTCAGAAATCCGTATTGTAATTTGTATACAGAAGAAATTAAGCATATGATCAATCAAAGTACCGGTCGATGGAGGTCCAGGCTTCGAGATTTCCAATAGTAGTAGACGTGATTTGATTGAAGCAGCGCCCCTGCCATACCCCTGCCAGAGAACTCTTCCGTTCGTTACTCCAAATAACACCACCACCACCACTGCCGCCTGCTGATTGTTTAAGGTTGGAGAAGCGATGAAGAAGCAGAAGAGAAGCGGTGGAAATAGAACGCTTTCGGGTTGTATTTGTCGATTGTACTGAAACTATGTCGTAAAACTCAAGCATCGAAGTTAGAGCCATCCGCTAACGACGGCGAAGAAGTGTCTCCGGCAGACCATTTGACGAACGGAGACCTCCGGCACCGGAAGACAAGTACTGATTTTGTGATTAAGAAGTCGACTGATCGACTCGTCGATGTCCGCATACCACCGATCGTCAGTTTGCAAGGGTATCTGGGAAAACCTACTTGATCGATTGCAAGTATGAAGACCTGAAGCTTCGATTAGAAGACCGACCAGTACGGACATCGAAAACCCTAATCTCGTCGTCTACCACCACCTTAACAGCCGTAACGGCCTCCACCACTAATGGTACAACGACAGACGCCAAAAGAAAGAGGTAATCGGAGATGCAAGCGTAAAATATAAAGGATCAGGAAGTGGTTGGCGGTGGAGGAACGAAAGGGTAGAAGAAGAGAGGAGAGTCGATTTGGGAGGTGGTGGAAAGATCGTGAAGCAAACAGAACGAAAACAGATAAACATCAAATACTGAGAGGCGGGCACGATGACCAACACGTGGACAGAGAATAGAATATTTTCCATAAAACACCCTTATACCAAAATTCTATAATCAAGGGACCATTTCTGCCAAAAACTCGCAAGTTCACTATTCATGTTGAAGACAAGTTTAATATATATATAATAATATATAATAATTATAGTATTTTACTAAATCATACGGATAGGATTTATATATTAAAGAAAAAAACAGCTTTTCACTTGAGACAACCGAACCGCACTTCAAGGCAAAAAGGATAGGAATTTTATTTCTACGTCCACGTGACGTTACCTCATATACATTTATTGAAAAAACTATATTACGGCCCCTTAAAATTGTCATTTTAACATAAATGGCCCGCCTATCTTTCTAAACTTTTAAATTAGTCTACTATATTTAGGGACCACTTACGCGGTGAGGTTGTTTGTTTTTGAGTTATTGTCATAATAACCCAATAAGATTTTGTGTTTTGTTTTAAAAGTTCCTTAAACTTATTTTTGTTCCTTGTAAAGGTATAAACTTAAAAATGACCTGTTATTAAAGGGAAGATAACCTTTTATTCCCGGTTAACATATAAATTCAGCCAAAACTTAGATGACGTGGCATATATTATGGCACATGGACCTTAACCTTTGTTTGAGTACTATTTTATAAACAATTCCACGTGTATTAGATCATTTCTATTTCTTTTTCATCCTTCATGCCGCCTCCTCCTCTTCTTCTTCACGCCACCCTTTTCCCTCACGTCACTCTTCTCCTCCGTTGCACCGCAATCTCGGCGATCTTTACATCATCTTTACCACCATCACAAACTAACAGATTCTTTTTTATATGTTTGTGAATTGTGTGTATGTGAATTTTAGAGCAATGTGTGTAGAAAATAGAGGGAAGGTGTGAAGCACTCGATGTCTTTACCTTTTCAATTACGAAATCATCTAAGTTGAGGACCAAACTCTAAGAAATACGAATTGATGGAACCCAATTCAGAAGAATCGATGTATGATTTTGAAACTCCACGTGTAAATGATCGTCTAGATGATGAAACTTTGGAGAAATATGTTAAAGAATTCAGGTGTGAAGTCGAATCCAATGGAAGTTTCCAAAACCATCATGAATTCGATCCAGTGAATGCCTTTTTTTATTGAAGAATGTATGGAAACTTGTATTATATGCCCTTTTCGTATATCATTATCGATTTCATACACCATCGATTTTCCTGGATTAAATAGTTGAGGAATCTGATTCTAGGGTTTTCTCGGTGTTCTTCATCTTGATCTCATACTCTAGATTTTGCTCAAATTAATGATTAACAATATATATTGAATCTTGATTGTGGGTTAAATATGTTAATCGATTAGTGTGGGTGATTTAATATATCACAGGAAGTTTGATAATGGAAACAATTTTCTGGAAATCGGTTGTTGATGTTCTTTCACTAGGGTGTTCTTGACCATTTTGCAACAGGGTTTCGATCGTATTTCTGGGTTTCGATGATAGCTTTGAATACTTGAGTTTTAATGGTTGATATTTCCAGCATCATGTAACTTGATCTGGTTTGAAAGAATAAAGGTGAGCAATGGTTTCGTTTGATGCTTTATTGCTTTCGTGATGTAGATGGAGCGATGTGAGCACTGAGCTTTTGATTCAATTTGAAGATGGGATGAATTGGTTGAAACTTCATCGCACAATGACAATGACGAACTTGGTTTAACAGTTCTTGTGCATCTTGAAAATGATAAGGAAGGGGATAAAGGAGATGAAAAAGAAAATGAAGAATTGGAAAGAGGTCAACAATCAAAGGAAAACCAGTCCACGTGGCTATGAAAACCTTTGACTATCAAAAGTCTATATACACATAGGCAAGGTACCTGGTAAACCTGCTAACTTTAAACAAAATGGTATTTTAGAAAGGTAATTTCGAGTTTAATGGTCTAACAGGTCCAAAAAATAGTTAGATGGTCATTTAAAACCAATAGTAAAACTTTCATGTGCCTCCATGACAATAACCCTTTGTTTTTCGGAAAAAAAAATTCAGACCATTTTTTTTGTACGGCGCGCGCAGTAGACGTGCAACATTTGTCTTTTCGTAGCAGTTTGTTTTTTTGAAAGACTTAAGACTATAAAACCTTTTGCGTCTTCTGTGCGACATAGCACTTGACTTGCTTCTTCAAACCTCTCTGACTTCTATTTTTTCCATGTGATTTTTTTTTTTAGAAATTTGGTATAACTTGATTTTTTTTAAACTTTGATTTACGGATTTGATACAATTTCTTATTATAGTATCCATAATTTTTTATAACTTGATTTTTCTAAAAAAACTTTGATTTTTTTATTTTTTTTACCGTTTCTTTTAATAATATTTTCAGTTTCGGTTGCATCTTTTTTAACATGTTTGATTCTTTTACGAATTTTATAGACATTGTATTTTTATTATTTTTTTATTTTCTTATTTTTATGTTCTTTAAATTAGTTTTTTCTAGAAAAAAACAGATAG